TACATCAACAGCTTTATGCTTATTTAAATAACAATGATCTATTATGTGATCGCCAGTCTGGTTTTAGACCTCTTCATTCGACGTCAACCTGTTTGACAGAAATTGTCGACTTTCTTTTAGATAATATGAACTCTGGTAAGATCACTGGGGGTCTGTTTTTAGACCTACAAAAAGCGTTTGATGTCATTCCAATTGATTCAATCCTCGATAAAATGTATTATTATGGTATAAAAGACTCTGAGTTACAATGGTTTAAAATGTATTTGAAAGAAAGGCAACAATGTGTCTCAATTGCAGGAGCAACAAGTTCGTTTTTAAATGTCAAGACGGGAGTCCCTCAGGGTTCCATACTTGGGCCCCTGATTTTCTGTCTTTATGTCAATGATATAGGTAATTTACCTTTACATAATAAAACAAAGATATGTTTATATGCAGATGACACTGCTCTTTTTAACTGCGATAATGATATGATTGGTATCCAGGCAAATTTACAGTCCGATTTGGATTTAATTACAGAATGGCTCCGACTTAATCGTATGTATTTACATCCACAAAAGACTAAGATTATGACTTTTGGTAATAAACGTAAATTACAAAATAAAAAAATGACAATTCAATTTGAAGGAGCATCCTTAGAGCATGTCGACAATATTAAATACCTTGGAGTAATTCTCGACTCTCAATTAAATTGGACATTACATATTCAGTATATCTCTAGTAAAATCTCACGTTCTATCGCTTGTATTAGAAGAATCAAACATTTGACCCGAAACAAACAACTGAAACAGTTATATTATGCATTGATATTATCATATATAGATTATTGTTGTACGGTATGGGGAAATTGCTCGAAAACTAAAATAACTCGGTTACAGAAATTGCAGAATAGATATGCTCGTTTGGTTTTGAATACAGATTATTCAACTACACAATGTTCTTTATTAACTACCCTCAATTGGCAATCTGTTGAACAAAGAATTAAATATCAAAAATGTATTTTAGTCTATAAGATATGGAATGATTTTGCACCAAAATACCTGAAACCATTGTCTGTTTTGCGACCCATTGTTTATAATACTCGCCATACCACCCAAAACCGTCTACAAATACCATACCCTAAGACAGAATACAAAAAACGTTCCTTTTCATTCACCGGAAATTCTTTATTTAATAAGTTGCCATTGTCCGTCCAAAATTGCAAGTCACTAAACAATTTCAAGAAACAATGTAAACAGTTCTCTAACATGCTTTAACAACAAACAAAAAACACACGAGAATCTGGCCTACTGGGGGGGGGGGGGGTCTCGCCGTGCATCCCACGTGCGCCTCATGTAGTATTCAAATGTATAAATGTTTTTATATATTGAGTTATATTGATGTTTCAATTTATGTTATGTTCTTATGTTTTATGTTATTGTTTGTATCATGTGGAGGGCTCCGTTGGAAAGCAGTTTCTTTTAACTGAATCGGACTACCCTCCACTGTTTTACCAATTGTAATAAATAAAACATGAATAAATAAATAAATAAAAATTCTTGACGCAAGAATGATTTCTATGTGAAAATCAGCCCTACTCTTTAGATAGATTTATCGTCGAAAAACCGCATTTTCAAGGCGAAATATCTGTTTCCAAAATATATTAAACATGATTGTCATATAAGTATATAGAGAGTGCAACTTCTTATCTTTGAAATAAGACCCATTTCATGAGAAATGAACAATTATAAAGGCAAAAACTGCCGATCGGGAAGACCGTCTGCACTACTCATTACGTATGCAAGACACGTAAATTCTTGCATACGTGCTGAATAAAATAGAGGGTTTTCGCACCGGCTGCGGTCTGACTGTATCCATGTGTAGATAGGGGGCGTATATCCCTATGTGTGTACACTTTCTGCTGGTATGTTATATCTAAATCTTGTCAACCATGTTTTGTCATTTGAAGTACTCGGTTCCAAAAGGTACTACATCCATTTTGTATCAATTTAGAAAGAAAAAAATTGGCATTTATGTACACATTTCCAGTAGCATCATGCACGGACACTTCCACAAATCTGAATTTCTCCCAATAAGTCAAAAATGGCATTTAAAAACCAGTTCGGTTCCAAAAGGTACTATATCCAGTCAAGTCATTAATTGTAACTTGCATACAGTATGCAATATGTTCGGTTTCAAAAGGTACTACATCCACAACAATTAAAACAACATAAATTAATGAAAAATATTTGGACAGACTTAGATTTTTTTAAAGAGTGGTTTTGTACTTGTATCATATAAATGATATAATACAATAGTATAATCAGCTAAAGTATCATCGTTCGGGGGAGCTTTTGTTTGTTTGATGTATTTCAACCGTTTTTCTACTAATGTGTTTTAACTGTATAACTTTCTGGCAATAATTTGATAAACTATGCATTTATATTGAATATATTTTTTATTTCTTAATGATGAAATAAATATAAACATGATATTAATTCAAATGAGAATCATGGTTGTTTAAAATTCACAAGAGCTGCCGTAAATAAAATTTACATAGAAAGCACTTAGGTAGTATGAATCTGCTTAAATATCACAAAAACAGAAGGGAAAAAAATTATTCCCACGTCGTTGACAGAGCATGTGTTTCTATTGCAAACAAGGCTGTGTACACAAATTTGTATTGAGAAAGGGAGGAAAAGTCCACAAGTTACGCTATTTGTTCAAAAACAGAAATATGCCTGCACTCATTGGCCCGAATTCACAAAGCAAGGTTTGAGCTCAGACCAAGGTTTGAGCTCAAACCTCCTTTTGTTTCGCCAAACCTCCTTTTGTTCTTTACAAACCAGGTTTGTAAAAAACGCGTAAAACCCGTCATATGACGTACGAAAACCAAGGTTTGTCGACAAACCTCCTTTGTGAATTCGGGCCAATGTGCAGACAGAGTCGGAGGTCGTGAGACCGATAACAATAGATGGTGACGTCAGAAACGTATGGACATTTCCTTTGTATTGGTCTTTCAAATTTGTGTAAACTTTAATTTTCATATTTGAGTGAGGTTTGCGGTTACACTATTAGTTATCCCTGAAAAAAAATGCCCACTCATGCTCTATATCGACATTTCGAATGGTTGTACCTATCGCCTTCGAGATGAGTGTGCATCTCTGTCTCGCTCTCTCTACGTGCCGTATCATGATACGTTGGCGACCATCGAGTGTCACATCTCTCTGTCCCAGTTTCTATGAAGTAATTCATTCTCCCCGAGATCAATTCCACATTCAGTAATCTCACTCATTAAGCTACTCATCCACAGAATCCTCCTTCTACCCCTACTCCTCATCCCCTCTATTCTTCCAGTCAGTGCAAGATTTTCCAATCCATTCTTCTGTATAACATGGCCCAAGAAGCTCAGCTGTCGACCTCTTATAATTATTCAGAAGCTTTCGTCTTGTTCCTGCCATGACAAATACCTCATTATTAGAAACTCTTTCTGTCCATGAAATTCTTAGCATCATTGAGTGTGTGTAATGGGTCTATATACCGTTGGGTTGGACCACTGCACAAGTCAGGGGGTTATGCTTTTAATATGGTTGCGTATTTCTTGAATAGCCATTCTTCCTCCTCTATTTATTTGTCCTTATTTCAGTTTTTGTCCACATTTATCTCATTTACTCATTTTTTCTATCCTATTTTTTCATCTTTCCCAATGCATCTATCTCTCTCTCTCTCTCTCTATATATATATATATGTCCACAATCTCTCCCCTATCTCCTATCTATCTCTATCTCTCTCCCTTTCATTCTGTCTACCTCTCTCTCCCTCTTCTTACTCTAGATCTCTCTCCCTCTTCATATCTCTCTCTCTCTCTCTCTTTACCTCTCTTTTTCTCTTCTTTTATATTCCTCTTATATCTTATATCATCTCTCTCTTAATTTCCCCTCGTATGGTTCTATCCTCCTTTCCGTCCTTCTTTCTTCATTTCCCATTGCGTTTCTTCCACTCGAAGCCTATCATTGGGGGTCTTTCACAAAGACCAAAATCAACATCAAGTTGGACTTGACTATGGCAAGCCGTTCGTGCCACTGTTGCTCTCACCATTAACTGGAATCGGTCTCTTAAAGGACGTACAAATCAATGTCACAAATCTACAGAATATCTAAAGATCATAATGGTCATAATCGTTTGTGTCTCCTTAGATCAAGATAGATGTATCTTGATCTATTATTGTTATCATAATAGTGAGACCAACTGTGGCATGAATGGCTTGCCATAGTTAAGTCAAACTTAAAGTCAATCTTAGTGTTTGTGAAACACCCCCTTGTTCTGTATCTATATTACATGACCATGATCTGGCATTGGCTGAATTTCAAGCCCGATTCTGTGTGTATGCCTTTAAACAAAATCGGATTTAAAAAAGGAAGTCCCTCAGACGTCTAAAGTTTAAATTTGTTAAATGTGATTTAGATAGACCTAGGCTCATTTTTATCCGAATTAGGATAGAATACGGGCCTATAGGTTTTGTAAAGGCTAGTAATTTAATACTGTGGTAAGTCGGAACATAACTTGATTTCTCGCAATTCATTTCTATATAGGACTTGAGACGTTGAACGTTCTAGTTTTCGATTGGTGCGATCGACCTTATATTAGGCCAGCTGTTAAACGATCCAACAATGAGGTCGTTTGCTTTTTTCGCAATCTCAATACTTGTTGCCATGGCTTCAGGGTATGAGGAGCCATTCCAGCCATTCCAGAACCCGGGAGAGATATTTCCTGGTTTGACCATCAAATTCATGATCAACGCTGCTGGTGGTATCTTGCAGAAGGATCGTTTCATTGATTCGATGGCCTATGCTTGCAGAGGTGTCCTACCGGTAGTCGGTTCGGCGGTACCGGAAGTGGACCAGTCAAGTCTGGTTTGGGGTTTCGTCTGTGATAAAGTCATCGAAGCTTCTGAAGATCTGGATGCTTTTGACGCAACGGGATTCTGTAATGACATAATTACTGAGGTCAATAGCCACATATCTCAGGACAGTGGCGGAAGATATCGCAGACAAGCGGAATATATGGATGATTCCCTGGGTATCCTTGGAATCCTGATCAACATCACCAGAGACCTCTATGGAATTGACATCAACATGATCATCAATGACCCATCTACAATCAACACCATCTGTACCAACGTCAAGGAGAATTTCCTGAGGCCATCTCTTCAAGATCTCCTCTCTAAGTTTGGGGCTGAACTGATGAGTGCCTATCTACCTCGGGCAGCTCCGATCTGTGCAAACTGGCAAGGCTTCCTTGAAGGTGCAGGCATCGATTCCACGTCGCCTGTATACAGCATTATCCAAGATGGCGCTCGTATCGGATCTCAGGTGGTCGGATATGACGACAGAGAGGATCTTTGTCAACATCTTGAGCAAGCACTATCGGTGCAAGGTAAGATAATGATTTGTGCTTAATGTCTTGCTAAAATATAGACATCTTCTTTTCTTTTCATTTCTTCTTGCCTACCGACTGCTATTCAGTTATCCGTCTTGGTTACTGAGAAATGTCACTCCAAAGCCAGAAGGATATTAAAACTGTGTCTAATAATATGTGTAAGGCCCTCCACGACGTCACAATGTTTTACTGATCGGCCGGTGTCGTCCTGTCAATGGTGATAAAAACATAGATCCCTGTTTGTAGACAGTTTTCACGAAGTACAGTATATAAGCTTAATCTTTCAGTGATCCAATCTCAACGTGATACCAAAGACTTCCAAAAGACAAGATACTTTCCAATAGCCACGTTCACCATCATGTAAAATATGCGAACATTATAATGATAGCAATAGGACGTTATCCGAACTTGGTTTTTCTCTGTACTAGTTTGGCTAGGAGGGATTAGACCACCCAGGCGCGTACGCAAGATTTTTTCAAGGGGGGGGGGGTTAACATTTATAAATCGGTCCGAAAATTTCGCAACGACTCAGCCAGCCGCTGAATAAGCGGGGGGGGGGGGGTAAAGGGCCCTATTTTTTTGTTTTTTTGTTCCCCAAAAAATCGCAACGACTCAGCCGACCGCTGAATAAGCGGTAGGGGGGGGTAAGAAGACCCCAACCCCCCCCCCCCCTGCGTACGCGCCTGAGATCACTCAGGGTGGTCACTGACAGGTGGCTATCTCATCAACTCAGCTCTCAATTAAAAAGAGGATCATTGGGGACCAATGGTCACGATTAGGCATTGTTTTCTATATAGAGGGAGCAAGTAGCTACAGTACAAGTAGTACAGTGGGGTTTTAGGGGCAGAAAATGTGGTATTAAAAAATTGTCCTTACTTTGATTTCTGGAAAGTCTTTGTGATATTATGTTCCTCATAATTTATTTTATTTGTATTTCATTTTTTGCAGAAGATAACAACGCCGCAAGGAGAACGTTCTCCATGGACATCATCTCCGAAATCTTCGATACCGTGGAGGAAGCTGACAGATGTACTTCATCGGCTAATGACGCCATTGACAATGTCATCCTGCCCCTTATACGTGTGAACATACCCGCCTATGTGCTTTCGAACGATGACATTCTTGCTTATACCGGCATTGATGGTGGAGTGGCAGCTGTCTGTACAGCAATGGAGAACGCTGTCACGTGTAAGTTCATAAACTGTGATAATATTAAACATATAATGTTATAAAACGAAAAGAAGAGAGAATAAAGAAAACATGTTTTGTGTTCGTTTCATTAAAACAACGCTCACAGAACAAATTTCGATCAGATCGTCGGCTGCCTGCAATAAAGCCGTAAATGCCATTAACATTACGTACCTGTAATACCCTTCTTGTAGTACACATTGTATTGTACTGTACTTTATTTGGTATTCTTTGCTCAATTTTTAGCAGATGATATGTTTTCAAAAATTAAAACACAAGGGTTAGCCTGTAGTATATCAGAAAAGCGTTTAGAGTCATCATGGATAGTTTAATTGCCATACAAATGAAGATTTATTAATGGCCGAGTCAGTGACTGGCGCGGTGTGGGGGGGGGGGGGGGGCGCCATCGTTAAGAGAAGTTTTCCAAAGGTTTTTGAAAAATAAACAGAACAGACGCTGGGCTAATGATGATACAAAATAACCTGACACTTCATGAGCCATGTGGATTATAATTTATTGAAACTTACTTGCCTCTGGTTGCTCATTTATATCGATTGCTCCGTTTGGCGATAAGTAAAATGGCTTTTATTTCATTTCTAATCTCAGATGAAATAGACCTCCCAGACCCTGTTCCAGTCCAGCTCATCCCTGAGACCACCCTGACCGTTGAGTTCTTCTTGAATGCTGTTGGGGGCATCTGGCAACAAGACCGACTCATCGACTCCCTTGCCTTTGTGTGTACAGACGTCTTACCTGAGCTGGAATCGATGGTACCCGACTTTGAGTCTTATGTTAAAGATTCCTGGGATTATAAGCCAGTTTGCGGGAGGATCCGCGAAGCGGCTAGTAACTTGGAGGAATTTGACGCGACGGAATTCTGTAAAGACCTTACCAAGATAGTCAACGACTTGATCTACGGCCCGGGAACTGATGAAAGGGTTCGCAGACAGGAAGACCCATACATGTATATCCTAGACATCATTGCGAATATCACCAAAGAACTCTACAACATCGACATCAATGACCCGTCGACCATCTGTCCAAACATCGCCCAGTTCCTGGACAGGTCCATACCTGATATCATATCGGAATTCGGTGCTAAGCTGATGGTTGTCTATCTACCCAATATAGATGGTATGCTCTGTGAAGATTGGGACCAGACACTTGAGTCGTTTGGGGTAAATTCTACTTCGGCGTGGTACCAGCTTGTCCAGAACGGTGCTCGTATTGTATTCCAGGCTGTAGGATATGAGAGCAGACAAGCTCTCTGCCAAGAAATCAACAGAGTACTAGCCATAACAGGTGACGTCTTTAGGGGACAAATAATATTCTGAAGGAAAAACAAAGTTAAAAAGCTTTAATCGAACTTACATTAATAAGCTAATGCGGTAAATTATTTCAAAAATAAAAAAGAACCCTTCGGACGTTGTCATTCTGATTTTATATATACGCATTTCTTATATTGAGCTCGAACTACTATGTTTTGTCTTTGCTGGTTTGCGGAAACCGATCAGGTTTAAGTCAAGAAATTCATTGGGGTATGCCTTCTATTTATACGAATAAATTGGGGTTGAATAGAACAATTGCTTCCTGAATACCAACACAGCTTTGAAGGCGTTAACTAATAGAGTTTTCTGATATTCTAACTAAAGAACAAGCTTTGACAAAAATTAAAATGGTGTCTTTAATTCGGGCATCATTTATATTTTACAAATGTTGTAATCATTTATTTAATTATAAAGTCGAAGTGAGGAATGGGTAATAGAAGGCATTGGTATGGATGTTTCTTTCAACAGTTAGTTGTTCGTTTGTATGTGTATCTATTTGTACCTATTTGTATCCATTTCGTCATACATCTTAATATAGTTATACATTTTCTTAAACGCATATTCTTATCTTGAATTGTTTTATATTCGTATACTATACAGGAGATGATAACGAAGAGCGTCAGACTTTTGCCAGGAATATCATCGAGAGCAGTTTTGAGATTTATACAAACAACGACAGGTGTTCCATGTACTTCAATGACGCCATCGATGACATCATCGAACCAATCTTTGAGATTGAAAACCTTCAGATTAAAATCAGCGATTATACCATTTATCGTTACACCGGATACATGGGCGTGGAAGGGGTCTGCGAGGCAATGGAGACAGATTTCACGAGTGAGTCTAAATTATTGTTGAGATGTCGAGTTATATAAGTGTGTGTTGGCTCAGTCAGTAGAGCGTCCGCATCAAAACCGGGAGGTCGTGGGTTCGAACCCCGGCCGCGTCATACCAAAAGACGTTAAAAGACGGGAGTTGCTGCTACCTCGTTTGGCGTTCAACAATAAGGGGATAGAGCAACGTCGATCTGGCGCTGCTCAGTGGCTGCCGGGTTCACGATCAATTGGGCAAAAAGAATTTCCATTTTCGGTTTAATAGAATTTGGAGTGGACTTTAAATTATTATTATTATTATTATTATTATTATTATTCATTGACGTGTCTCTGGGTAGACCGGTTTTACTAAGGTATTCCAATGTATACATGAAAGTTCCCCTCAACACAAGTCACCAGTTAGATCGTGTTCCTATGGATTGAATTCACTGTGCATACATCAATTATTGCTAAGGCGGAGAAAAAAAACTTCCTTTTTGTTTTAGTTATCAAGAGTCTTTTGTTCAAAAGGTATGCATAAAATAAGTAAAACGGTTTATTTAAGGGTTGAGGGTTCGAATCTCAGCCAGCTGACATTACTCCACATTTGTCAATCCCATCCAGGTGTAGAATTATATTATTATTATTATTATTATCATTATTATTATTATCATAATTCGTCTTCTTATTATCATTATTCGCCTTCTTCGTATTATTGTTATCATATCATTTCCTCGAACTTTTTGTTCATTAATCAGTAAAAGAGCATTGTTGTACATTGATAAAAGATTGATTTTCATATGAGAGTTCCCGGCTTCAATCCTTTCTCCGTGCTTACATCTTTATTTAGACACGTCAGGCAATATGCTTTTACCCACTTTTTTGCAACTCTCTATCATACTGTCTATTAAAATATACTTGTCCTTTAGCAAGACATTAATTTTACATTTGCCAGTCTCTCCCCAGGTGTTCTAAATGGGTACCTGGTAGGAATTTATTCCCTGAATGTTTTTAGCGCCTCGGGGCAGCTTCGCTAACACTTCGTAGGCGCCCTGAGCAGCCCATGGGATAGATGCGAGCGCGATATTAATGTAGCTATTATTACTATTATTATTTTAGTACGTAGGCCTATAATAATGGGAGGACCCTGACGGAGAACAGTATTATCTGTTACTGATGAGGCTTTCCTAGGTTGATTAGACTATCATTATCAAATTTTAACCAAATTTGAGGCAAGAGTGAACTTTTTCCTTGATATTTTGTTTCCGATTCCTAGAGCTTTCTACTAGCACTGTAACGATGACTTTGACAGGCGAGTATCTAAACGGAGAGATTCTTGTGTTCACTGATGATCTGAAGAACCAGGCGTCTCCTCGCTTCAAGAAGCTTGAAACGTTGTACTGTGGAGTGGTAAGTTTGAAACAATGATTAAACATCGATAGTGAAACAACAACGACGACGACAAAAACAATAATAATAACATAACTCTACTTCTACTACTACTACTACTACTAATAATAATAATAGCTAGTTCTTATATAGCACTTTTCAAGACCGAAGGCCCTCTCAAAGCGCTATACAGATATATATATTATTACCTCGGTCATCGGATTCAGGCTTACCCGCACACAATGCATGCACATTATCCACTCCCTGGGGAGCATTCCAGCCAGGCGTCTTTTTTTATAAGCGCACACTTCCTAATCACTACTACCACTATTACAACTACTAATACTGCTACTTATACCACTACTTCTACTACTATTTTACAACTACTACTACTGATTCTACTATTATTGATAATAACAACGATAACAATAATGAAAATAATGAAAGTAAATACAAATAATAAAAATCAACATCATTGTCATCATCACCATTATCCGTTGTTGTAAAACACATATACTGTCCGTATGGATAAATATGATTGAGAAGCTCGCTCAACGTACGCAGCAGGGTTGGCCGGGATGCATGGTACATTCCCCGCAGTGGACAAGCGAAAGCACAGGCGCAAAGTTTTCTCAACGACAAATGATTTGACGGTCGCCGACAATACTACTACTACTAATAATCAGACAGACGTAAATAGTCAATTTTGACTGAACGCCCAAAAAACAAACAACAACAACTACACATGAACCTGCTGTTTTGAATATCATTTATCAGCAGGAAATCCAACATATATGGAGGAAAACATTTTGGTCACCTACAAAAGGCCAAGGTTATAATTATGAGAAGTTTTGCATTGTAGAGCTAACGTGTTGTCGAGTGGATACATCACCGGACTGTCGATCGCAAGGTCCACGGTTCGAGTGCCGCCGCGGCACTAATATCCTTTGGCAAGACATTGATCTACATTTGCCACACTCAACCGAGATGATGTAAGAGGATACCTGGCTATATAAGAATCCACCATTATTATTATTATTATTATTTAAGTTTTGATTTCCTAATAGATGGGGAATCATCTTAGGCGAGAGTTAGGATCGGACCTTCGAGGTATGGACTGTAAAGCCACGTCTTTCAGCGCTGGCAGCATTATCGCTGAGTTGGAGATTGAGATTCATGCCTATACTCAGGATGATGCTGATTCTCTGGCTGAGGATGCGGTAGACCTGTCTACCAGCGGCACTCTCGTCCTCTCCTCCGAAGGGGATACTTTAACAGTGTCCTCACTTCAAGGATCAGGATCAGGATCAGGTAATAGAAATGTGTGTATGTGTGTGTGTGTGTGCGTGTGCGTGTGTGTGTCTATCAGGTTTGTGCAGCCTCTGATCCTCTCAGCCAAAGGGGATACGTTGACAGTGTCCTTACTTCAATGATCAGGATCAGGTAATAGAAGTGGTTGTTTGTGTGTGTGTGTGTGTGTGTGTGTGTATCTTTCAGGTTTGTGCAGCCTCTCATCCTCTCATCCGAAGAAGATACCTTGACAGTGTCCTCACTTCAAGGATCAGGATCAGGTAATAGAAGTGTTTGTATGTGTGCGTGTGTGTATCTTTCAGGTTTGTGCAGCCTCTTATCCTCTCATCCGAAGGGGATACCTTGACAGTGTCCTCACTTCAAGGATCAGGATCAGGTAATAGAAGTGTTTGTATGTGTGCGTGTGTGTATCTTTCAGGTTTGTGCAGCCTCTTATCCTCTCATCCGAAGGGGATACCTTGACAGTGTCCTCACTTCAAGGATCAGGATCAGGTAATAGAAGTGTTTGTATGTGTGCGTGTGTGTATCTTTCAGGTTTGTGCAGCCTCTTATCCTCTCATCCGAAGGGGATACCTTGACAGTGTCCTCACTTCAAGGATCAGGATCAGGTAATAGAAGTGTTTGTATGTGTGCGTGTGTGTATCTTTCAGGTTTGTGCAGCCTCTTATCCTCTCATCCGAAGGGGATACCTTGACAGTGTCCTCACTTCAAGGATCAGGATCAGGTAATAGAAGTGTTTGTATGTGTGCGTGTGTGTATCTTTCAGGTTTGTGCAGCCTCTCATCCTCTCATCCGAAGGGGATACCTTGACAGTGTCCTCACTTCAAGGATCAGGATCAGGTAATAGAAGTGTTTGTATGTGTGCGTGTGTGTATCTTTCAGGTTTGTGCAGCCTCTCATCCTTTCATCCGAAGGGGATACCTTGACAGTGTCCTCACTTCAAGGATCAGGATCAGGTAATAGAAGTGTTTGTTTGTGTGTGTGTGCGAGTGTCTATCAGGTATTTGCAGCCTCTTATCCTCTCATCCGAAGGGGATACGTTGACAGTGTCCTCACTTCAAGGATCAGGATCAGGTAATAGAAGAATGTATGTGTCCGTGTGTGTGTGTGTATCTTTCAGGTTTGTGCAACCTCTGATCCCCTCAGCCGAAGGGGATACCTTGACAGTGTCCTCACTTCAATGATCAGGATCAGGTAATAGACTGTCCAGGGAGTGGTTTGATTAAAGCCCCACTGCATTAGGCGTCACTGCGGAGTAGGATCCCCAACTCCCCTTATCCATTCAAAACAAAACAAAAATAGTGTGTTTTTATTTATTTTTTGCTTATTGTTTTCTTTTCAGATAGATAATTTAGGGAATTTTATTCACCAGTTTAAAAATCGCTAAATTGGTGATACCTTTTTTGTCTCTTTTTTGCTTTGCTATGCTTTGTGTTGTTTTTGTTTACTTGCTGCTTATTAGTTTGTTTAATGTTGCCTGCCGGGAAACAATTTTATCCCTTTAAAGGCATAACGAAAAATCTTTAAAACCTAATTTGAGGAGACGGAGGGGGGGGGGGTGCTAACGTATGAACAAGATGCAGCTGACTTCACCCCTTTCCATTATGACCCCTCCCCCTCCTCATCCTCCGCCATTCGAATTGGTCTCGTGACATCACTAAGTGTGATCTTAAGAATCCCATTAGGAGTCACTTCCTAATATGAAGGAATTCACCAGAAATTAAATGATCGAATTACTCTCTTTTGGAGACGATCTTCTTAAGTTGAATTCCACTCCAAAATAGAAAGATTCCTACTATGGCATCTCATATGTGACGAGCCTTCAAAACCTATACAACTCATAATACGATTTTAAAAGACCCGATTCCAAGATATCAAACATGACTCCAAACATGTACATAACTTTGCACATAGAGACTTCTGATACCTCTTTTGAATGCATCTTTTGAACTGTTCTGTTCCTATACTTTCCCTGCCAGCTGGCCAAGGGGGTGATGGTGGCTTGGCTAAGGGGTCCATCATAGGCATTGCTGTGGCTGCGACCGTCGTGTTCTTGGTGGTCGCCGTCATCATCATCGCCGTCGTCGTGCACTCCAAGGGAAAAGGCACAAGGGATACGTGAGTATTAAATACCAATACATTGCAAGGTAAAGGGTTCGAGTCCCTGTGCTTGTTAGATGTAATACACCCTTTCACGGTTACGAGAGTGCGCATGCGCCGACATGGGCGCCATGTTAAATTACGAGAAAATAAGTTGTTTACTCGTAATTCAAAGTGGCGCCCATGTCAATTTGATGTAAGCGAAAGACGCAACAATATACATGATTATGTGCATCTGAAAACAGTGATGGCGCAATATTTACTCGTAAATTAAAATGGCGGCCTTGACCGTGAAAGGGTGTAGGTGCAGGGTTCTAAACCCCGTAACAAAAAGCTTAGCGCTTGATCGGATGATTGCGTTTTTGCGATTGATGGCACATAGGAATCAATGTAATTAATCGCGAAAATTAATCGTACGATCAATTGCTTTGTTGGTGTTACTGGACTAAGATGCCTATAATTAAAATTAAAATGCGTGATTTAGCTCATGCTGCAATGACAATTACAAACCTTTAGGTCAGTCTTTTTTTTTTTTGGGGGGGGGGGGGCTTCAATACAACACTATATCACAGACACTGACAACACGCAGGGTCGCGCATCTCAGATTTAACATTGTTAAACGATCCCTTTAAATGTAATAATCGCGGTAATAAATCAGGTCACTACCATGCAATTTATTCGTTCATAATTAAAATGATATTTAGCATCGTTGATCTTCAACCACTTCTAGAAACATGTACATTCATACTGGATATACGTACATAAAGAAGTAAATACGGATAAACCATCGTCAATCTTAACTTTCCACTCAGAGGTAACCTTTATAAATTCCGAGAAGACATCCAATTCAGTATAAACTATCCACTACGCCGTATACTCTGTAGAACCAAGTCGAATTGAAATTGAAACTCTTCCTCTGTTGAAATCCGATGTGAAATCCACGTATAATAAATTTCCACTACGAAGTATCCTCCTCAGGCTCAGTAAAACCCAGCTAAATTAAATTAATTTGCGACCGATCAATGTCTATTTCCATCCTCTACCAAATATGCAAGTAGAATGAGGATTCTTACGCTAACACCGTGGGTAACCCAATACATCCCGGCTAATACAATTCCATATGTAGATTTGAAACATACCGCGCACTATTTCCGTTTATAGCTACGCGCACATGAAAGATACCGCGCTGACACAAAGGGCGTCGGCATGTTATTGTTTTCTCTCAAGACGCCGCAAAAGATCATCACAAAAGAGACGCCGCTTCTGACGCGTGCTGTCACTGATGAATTTAAACTATTTATATCGCCCTACGTGCGATAAAACTCCATAATTTCTAGCTACGCATAATACCAATGGAACAGAGTTCGTTGCCCCTGTACTGGTCAGGTTTGATACCAAACAATAACAATGTGTAGGGTTCGATTCCCTGTACTTGTTAATTCGTACTATTAATTCGTAAACAAAAACATTATTTGCATACTTTTGCTCGCTTTTTCGTGAAGAAAAACCATGTGATTGTCTCAGTAAATGAATCACACGTGACTGCGTTTAACCTATCATTTGATTAGGATGTAGGAGTGAATTGTGTAATATATCGTACCCGGACACCTACCCCCTAGACATCCACCCCCGGTTAACCACCCCCAGTCAACTACCCCTAGGACAACTACCCCCTAGGACAACTACCCCATGAAAACTACCCTCTAGAACGACTACCCCCTGGTCAACTACCCCGGACAACTTGCCCCGGACAACTACCCCCTAGAACAGTTAGCCGGGGGGTAGTTTTCCTGGAGGATCCTTGTCGTAGGTGGTAGCTATCTGGTAGTAGTTGTCCGGGTGTTAGTTGTCCAAGGGATAGTTGTCTGGTGGGTAGTTGCCCTAGGGGTTGATTGTCGTAGGGGTAGTTTACTGGGGGGTAGTTGTCCGGGGGTAGTTGTCCCAGGGGGTAGTCGTCCTAGAGGGTGGTTGTCCTAGGGGCTAGTTGTCCTGGGGGACAGTTGACTGAGGATGGTTATCCAGGGGGTGAATGTCCAGGGGTTAGGTGTCCTAGAACTGTAACATATGTATATATATATATTGCTGGTGTTTGTGAGGTTATTATCTTCAATGTTTCATTTGTGTCTTATATGTGCAGTGAGCGAGGAGTAGGATTAAAGAACCCGGGATTCTCCAAAGATGAGCACCAATATAGTAAGTGATACTATCCCGGATACTGTTAACCCGACGCGTGGACTACTGAATTCTCTAATCCCCATAGTCTTAATACAGGGACCACCATGTTCCAGTAGGTATTGGATTAATACTGCAGATTCAGACAACCTCCCCTATCGAGAACTTGAAGAATAATTAGCATACGAGTTTTTATAATTGTGCTTCAATTGTGTATCCGGATAGTTGATTTAAAACAGAAATTCGAAGAAGTTTACAAGCAATATTTCATAAATATTTTAAGAGTATTGCCGGACAAATATTCATCGTGGTGACTGCTATTTGATTAATATTTTCCGTAAATATTTCTAAAACTCACTTTTGAACTTTTAGGTTTTCTGTTTATATATTTTGTATTTGATTTTTAATTTATGTCAAACTATGTTCATTGTAATTGATATGTATATTTTTGTAATTTTGCAATTTTTATCTGTGAATTGTATCGCAATTCAGCCTTATACGGCTGCGAAGATATTTGTTAATAAACCTTGAATTGAATTAAATTAAATCTATAGGCATGTTTGTAGAGTATCCAGACACCCCCTCCCCCTTCCCATCAAACATAAAAGGGTTCTGCTCTCTTTAAATGCATAGGCGTGTCATTATACAATTTTCAAGGACATCACACGATATTACAATCGTCATTGCACTGACGAATATCGATATCATTGCCTTGTTTTCGTCCACATTATGCACCGTTAATCTTCTTCTTCGTGTTCTCCTTGTTTTCGTCAGAAAGTTGCATTCGTTTTGCACGTAGTGCTTGTAATCACTAGTTATGCCCTCTTCTCACATATGGCTCCGTTTAGTCTCATTTCACAACGCCCCCTATCGTCAGAGCATGGTCAGATTCAGCAGCCTAACATGTTAGCCTATGGACGTTTTTAAAAAAAATCGTTACAAATTCATTTTTTGTTTAAACGAAAAGCACATCCACCCCGACGTACGTTATCACTAGCTCTTTCATTGGAGCCTTCATGTCTCATTGACTTTTGAAAGTTCACCCACCGTAATTTTTCAAAATAGGTTGCAAGCTCGTCATTGCCTATTATACACATGTGAAACAAGTCTAACTTTGGACTCAGTTTACCAAGCGATTTGAAGATTATAGGTCGAGCACACGAAACATAAAAAGCATGAATTATCATAGATCACTTCTGCCTATTTCGTTTTGTCCATTTCATCCAACCCCACCGTAATTTTTCCATTTAGTAAAAGCAAACATTTTGCCGAGTTTAGCAAAAACATGAATATTCATGAACGGTCAGACAATGCAACCTTTTAGTACGTAACGTATAGTGAATGGGAATGTGCGATGATCCGTGTAGGAGGTAGAGGTCAGTGGTTTGTGCTGGCAATGTTCACGCGAGCGAAAATGAGACAATCGGAGGAATATGTGTCCGTTTCCTTACATATTTCATAGGCATAGTCTCTAGCTTCTCATCAAGGTCACTACATTCTGCGATTTTCTAAATCACTCATTCATAACCGTTCAGGCGCCATTTTGTACGTTTCTGGTCCGTTTTAAGGCCTTTCTTTCTTCCTTACTTCCTGGCTATCTCCACTATCCTAGATCATACAGAGTACAAATTCCTCTAAATAGTCCAAGATTATGTTCTTTCATCTGCGACGCATAACCTGAGCTTCAAAATGCCATCTTTGCTCTGCAAACTCAAATCCGAAACCGGCTCCGTGAACAGTCTCTAAAAAATTTGAAAAATGGACCCCTCAAAATCTAAAATTGCCATTACTCCCTCATACCATTTCCGTTTCGTCTCAATTTCTTGCAGTATTTAATATCATAATTGCCCAAAGCCATGCAGAATTTAACGCTCCCAATAAATATGCAAACAATAAATAGCTCCCTCTAAATTTTTTAGGATTTGCGTTCTTTCTGTGGCCGTATCTCCATCGTTTCTGGCCAAACCCGTACCTTTTTTAGGATTTAGATACTTGAAGATATGCTCTTTCCAGCCAAATAAAAAATTATATACCCTAACACTGACCAAATTTGAGAAAATTGCCCTCCAATTATGCAGTTTTCAAGAAAATTGCGAAATAACTTCAACTTGCTCTAAAATGACAATCCTTATACCTACGTCAATGAAACTTGGCATACACATGTCTCCAATCAGGCACGTGAAAACTTTCTGCTAAGTTTGGTAAAATTTGATGACGTCAGCGCAAAATTATTGCCCAAAATGATGAATTTAATATGCATTACGTAACAGCCCGTTAAATACGTGCAATGAAGTGCACTTTCGAATGATACCAAATACGGTATATATTCACGCTAAAAAATTTGAGGAAATCGAATTTGAAAAAGGGTCACTTTCCGTCAGATTCCGCTCAATCATAACACGTATCGGCTATGACGTCATTTTTCAGACTGCTTTTTCGACACTTCCCGTCCATTATTTCCTTCAAATTTTACAGTAAAAATTCCGAGTTGCAATACGCAGTGCACCTCGAAGCCGGAATTTTGAAAATCAGGGGGGGGGGGGCCAATTAAGACGCCATTTTATTACTTTGCATGATTGTGTTCGTATAATATGGGCGGCTGTTTGTGCCACAGCACGCGTCACCACATGTTCATCATGCACCAAATCCCATTGGTTTTACACGCAGTACTTGCGAGCCCTTTCTAGGTCCCTTCCTTTATTTCAAACTTCGTAGGAATAGCCTCTAGCATCCCTTCAAGGTCACTGTATTCTTCGTTTTTCGGAATCCCGCATGCGTAACCGTCCAGGCGCCATTATGTCCGTTTCTGGCCGTTTTGGTGGCCTTTCTTTCGCCCTACCTATCTCCACCATCACATAAGCTACATACTTCTTACAAATTGCTCTGGATTGTCCAAGAGAAGCTCTTTCATTTGAACCGTAGAAACAAGTCCGCCATTGCACGCACATCGTTGTGACACGATTGCATGCCTAGTTGCAAGTGTTTTCGTTCTTATTAATACATGATTAGTCATCATTGTCATTCCTTATCATCTTCTTCTCTTCCTCCTTCTTTTATCATCATCACTTCATGTGCTTTTTCTGTATCCAGAGAAATAACTGTCTCGGATTGATCTTGGCTGCAGCACATCACTCCAGAAAGAAATTCATGGACGGATCATAACAAGCAGAATTGCACCCTCAAGGGCTTTCATCATTGAATGCTAATTTAAAGCTCTTCATGTAGTTGGCTGAGCATAATGGTACGTTCTGCATAATGTAAAACATATATATTACTCAGATCACACCTCTATTCCGTTGGTGTTTGAACTCAGATAATGCTTTTATTTTCTTTGGGAGGCCTTTGATATGAACTGGAATTATAATTCGCTGAAATGAAATGTACATCGATTATCATATTTATTGATTTGCATTTTTTTGTTTTAAAATTAACCCGTTGACTACTGAATTATCTTATACCCATAAGCTTAATACAGGGACCACCAGGCTGTTGTAAGCAATGGGTTAATAAAGACACATACAAACGCATTGTCCATGTTTATTAATGGTTTCGTGGTCTAGTGGATACATCACCACTGTCCAGACTGTGGATCGCATGGTCCGTGGTTTATTCCCGCCGCGGCATTTATGCCTTTTGCCACTCTCCATCCAGGTGAGGTAAATGGTTAGTTAGGAAGAAATAAATTCCTTGAATTTGTTGGCGCCTTATCATGGCGGTTAGCTAGTGCAGGGGTAGTAATCTGATGCTTTGTATTGAGCACAGTAGAGTATATTCATATAGAAGCTACGCTCTCTAAATAGAAGTAATTCTTATCATTACATTTTTTAAGGAAAAACTGGAATATCGTTAAGGAAGTGGCTTAAAGGGCTCAACTGGAACTTTGTTCCATTACCATTAATTTTAAGCTGTGTGAAAATATTATATTCTTGGTTATGATAATGCTAGCTTCTAAGTACTTTCTGGATAATTTTTTGTTGTGTTTGTCGTTGTAATTGAACATTGATGTTGATTACTAGATCCATATGATTTCTTCTTTGATTAATTGTTGTTACATGGATATAAGTGTCTGTATATTTGTATTATGTTTATGTTGAATGTAAAAATGTTATTAAATCAATAAAAACTTATCAAATATAAAAGATATACAAAAAATTGAACATTGATGATCAGCGTAGATGTACATCAATGAAGTTGTTTTCTTATTACGTAGAATATGCAATACACAGATATTAGTATGGAGTATAATTCCAACAATACAAATTTCTACTTTTGTCAATGAAAATGGTAGTATAGATTTCGCTTAGAGATGAATTAATATCCTTCTTTTCTACGTAGCTGTTGATCCTTTAAGTGGTCTAATTAGTGGCAACCATTTTGCAAATATCTTTGTTTTGGGATCGATAGAAGGTAGCTCTGGAATGTAATTGGAGTAACGTCGTCACCTTTATTACCTTTCTTTACCATAATTCTTTGCCAAATGTAGAAAAAAAATTCGCTACCTTTATGCCTTGTCTATGGCCAATTATTTTCAGAGGAAATTAGGCCAAATTTGGAAAATTTACAGTTTTTGTACAAACTCCGATGATTGTTTCGTCTTTCGTATTATTGAGTGTTCTGATGTACATGTATTTCAAGGTCTTCAGAAATATAACATTGTCAAACAAATGGCGTGATTACTTTAAAATTATACATTTGTGATTTTGTGCCAAACCTTAACGAATGAATTAAATTAATTTACGAGTGTATCTTTCTCCATTAAAGTGTTCAGTACTATTCAATGTAATATCTGAATTCTTCAAATTCATGCCTAGAAGTAAAAATATAATTATATAAGAAAAAACTCATGAATATTCGTGTTCTCATTGGGATGTTGCCTTCCTGTTGGGTATTGTATATACGTATCTGGACACCTACCTCCTGGACAACCACCGAGGTTAGTTTTCCTATGGGGGTAGTCGTTCTAGGGGGTAGTTGTCCTAGAGGGTGATTATCCGGGAGGTGGTTGTCCAGGGGGTAGGTGTCCTAGTGCCTTGTAGCTGTTCAGAGCTGATCGGAAGTGTCGTAGTATAACGGTTCATCCACTTGCTTTTCAATCAAAGAATTGGAGTACGAATCCCAGGTAGGCACTACCGTCCCTTTGACAAGACATTCATTCAAGTTTGCCAGTCTCCGCACAGGTGTAAATGAGTACCTGGCAATTTCAGGGGTAATAATAAATACATGGCCCTCTGTAAGAACAGCACTGATACTGATGAGGCTAGCAGGGAGGTCTAATCCTCCCTGGCCAAACTAGAGCAGACGGGCTTTAAAAACAAAACAGAAGTAAAATACAGTGAAATGCTCTGAATACGAAGAAAAGGCATTTTAAGTTCTCTTCTTTGCAATTTACTCAAGACGAGTTTTGTTCAGCTAAATTCAAAACATGATTTTACACGGTCTAATTATCTTCAGCATAGTCCTTTGTTTAGTTCACTAGAAAATGACGAGACAAATATAAATAGACATGACATCATAGAATGCAATCTTTCATTCTCTCCATTATTCATAATTATAAAGAATATCGATTCGCAAGTTTGGTTTTCAACAAAGGTGACATATTTTTGCCTATTTGTGCATTGTTATCAAAACAACTTACAATTTTCCGAAATAAAATGGTTGAATGGAAAGTGTCGAGAAAGTATCGAAATGACAAATAGTACATTGTATACTTAGACGATTGGAAATTTAATCAAGTGTACTGTAAACGAATCAGTAACGTCATTTTCCTTTTCGATCTAATACATTTTTATGTTTCTTAAGTACTGTACCACCTCAAGTGAAACGTCTGAACCGATCGATTGCTATAAATATGTAGATGATCTTACTTTGTTGGAATGTCGTAAAGTAATCGATCCCTCGGACTAACCAGCTGTCCTCTACAGTTTGGATCAGTGGTCCTGTCAAAATCACATGATGTTAAATCCTTCAAAGTGTTTTTCACTTAGTTTGACATTCTCCAAAAATCCCCCTGCCGAGCCAACTTTATATGTTGATGACTCACCCCTGGCATAACTTCCAATCTATCAACATTCTTGGTGTCATTGTGCAATTCAATCTGAAATGGGATCTCCATGTCACTGAAATCGTCAAAAAATGTAACAGAACGTTGATTATTTGTAGGCTTCTGAAACGATATGGACTGACGTTAGCTGGAAACTGGTATATACGGGCTATTTTCGTCCTGTCATGGAATACTGTACCCCAGTTTTTAATGGTGGGCTTACACAGAAACAAATAAGAAGTTTGGAGCAGGGACGTGATAGAGAAGGACTGGAATCAAGCCGCTCTCCTTTGACCCTATGCTCCAAGCCGCCGAAAATGTATGCGCTAATCTGCAACTGTTGACCAGGTGGTGAGATAAAAGAGCGTATGAAATTTCAGGATTTAAAATTCCTACATCAGAAATGGTATCACAGCAACTGTTTGCTGTCCCTTTCAATGATTTCTCATCATTGTTAAATGTGTAATGAGTAGAACAAGCGAACACAAACTTGTGTAATTTCATCCTTTTTCCAACAGCAAAAATACAGAAAACACGCGAAAACACGCATTAGCCAACTTATAGTTATCGAATCGAAGGGAGAAACTTTCCCTCCCTGCACCCACGCCCTAGGAGGTGCTCACTACCGCCCCCCCCCCTAAATTAAAATCCTGCCTTTATGCTTGAGAAGATAATAACCCAGGTAGCAAGCCCATGTGGGACTCACATGGGTCCCATATTCTCTAAAATGTTATCTATATTGAGGGTGACTTGAAAAAGTTAATATCTTGGAAGGGAGAGGGTGCAACCTGCCACACGCCTCTACCTCTTGGTTGCTTTGATCCATTGCCGAAAATATTTTGGCACCTATCATCCCCCCCCCCCCCCGCTTTTATTTTATTTGAGAGACCTTTGATATGAACTGGAATTATAATTCGCTGAAATGAAATTTACATCATTAACAAAATTAATGATTTGCATTTGTTTTAAAGTTAATAAAAACACATACAAACGCATTTTCCATGTTTATTAATGGTGTCGTGGTCTAGCGGATACATCATCGCTGTCCGGACTGTGGATCGCATGGTCCGTGGTTTATTCCCGCCGCGGCACTTATGCATTTTGCCACTCTCCATCCAGGTGAAGTGAATGGTTAGTCGGAAGAAATAAATTCCTTGAATTTGTTGGCGCCTTATCATGGCGGTTAGCTAGTGCAGGGGTAGTAATCTGATGCTTTGTATTAAACACAGTAGAGTATATTCATATAGAAGCTACACTCTCTAAATAGAAGTAATTCTTATCATTACATTTTTTAAGGAAAAACTGGAATATTGTTAAGGAAGTGGCATAAAGTGCTCAACTGGAACTTATAAAAACAAATTCTTCATTTGTTCCATTACCATTAATTTTAAGCTGTGTTAAAATATTATTTTCATGGTTATAATAATGCAAGCTTCTGAGTATCTCCTGGATAATCTGATGTTGTGTTTGTTGTTGTTATAGAACATTGATGCTGATTAATAGTTCCGTTTGATTTCTTCTTTGATTTATCGTTGTAACATGGATATATGTCTGTGTATTTGTATTATGTTTACGTTGAATGTAAAAATAATATTGAATCAATAAAAACTTATCAAATATAAAAAAATATAAATAAAAAATAGAACATTGATGTTCAGCGTAGATGTACATCAATGAAGTTGTTTTCTTATTATACGTAGAATATGCAATACACAGATATTAGTGTGGAGTATAATTCCAACAATAAAGATTTCTACTATTTTCCAATGAAAATGGTAGTATTTCGCTTAGAGATGAATAAATGCCCTTCTTGTCTACGTAGCTGTTAGTCCATTAAGTGGTTTAATCAGTGGCAACCATTTTGCAAATATCTTTGTTTTGGGATCGATAGAAATGTAATTGGAGAAACGTCGTCACCTTTATTCTCTTTCTTTACCATAATTCTTTGCCAAATCTTGAAAATGTTTTCGGGACTAACTTGGTGTTCTAATGAATTAACTCCTTCATTGATAGTGCACGTTGTATCGTACCATTTCACGTTAATAATAAGATGCCTCTGAAAGTTCATTAGAGTAATTTCGCTACCTTTATTCCTTGAATATGGCCAATTCTTTTCAGAGGACATTAGGCCAGATTTTGAAAATTGACAGTTTTTGTAAAAACTCTGATGATGAGAAGTGCTCCGGCATAAAAATGCCTGGATGGAGATGATTGAGACAATAAATTATCGGAGTATAAAATAGCTATTACGCAACGGCGACTTTGAAAGAAGAGAGAAGAGAAAGGAAGAAAGAGAGAAGAAAAAGAGACATTCATGCAAATTACAAATTACTAAGCTGGGGTGTGGAGGGCAATGCAATGCATTTTCAGATGACAGATGAG